CGAGTGGCGAGGCGCACCTTGTTGTGGTCTCAAACTCGCGACTGCGGCCCCACGCGGGCTGCTTGCACAACCTAGAGTAGAAAGATCAAGTGGCTGGCCTCGAGGGCAGGACGTGTCGACTTGCCAGTGCATCAACCCTGAGCGTTGGGGAATTGCGTCAGCGGTTGGTTGTATTTCGATGGCAAACGACTCACAGTCATACGGGTAGTCGTCCTCGCTAAACCTGGCGGTGAGGTAGAAGCCTGTGAACAAGCAACGTGAGCAGTCGGGCCCTGAGAAATGAGGCGATCTGCGGGAACATCACAGGTGATGTTCGCCACGAGAAATCGCCAGTGCTGAGCGGGAGACGTACTGTTGACAAACGAACTCCAGGCGGAGCTGGAAACTCGGCGGGCGGTCTCGACGGTGCCACCAAGGACAACGAGCTTCATACCGTCAATCATGCCATTGGACGAGCCACCGCCGACAAAGGGCGAGACGAGGCTGGACACGGCACTGAACATGTCCATGGCGGTGTGGGAGCAAGATTCAGGATGGCGGTGGAGGGCGGGGGAGGCGGACAGTCGGTTCAGGCGCAAGAAAGTGGAATAAGTACTCGGTGTCTGACACGAGGCTGTGACGGATCGCAGTGACCCTGGCAGCGGATGTTTGCGTGCGCTTTCGCTCGAGTCAAGCGCCAATGACTTGAGCTCTCGTCCACGCGCCTATCACAGCGCATTGGCGTGACTCGCGCACACTGCCCAAGCGACGAAACTCTTATTTCCGGCTCAAATCGGTGAGAGTGGCTGAGACTTGCCCCGGGTACGCTGCTCTAGCCGCCCGGGACACGCTCCGGTCGTCAACGCGCGAGCCCCTCGTGGCAATCGCTCCCGAAACACCCTCCGTCATCGTGCATGCCAGCCACCGAACACCTCACGCACAGACCCATCCCCGCATCTCGGACAACCCGGACCCTGTTACCGGTCGCCTGGGTCCGATCTCGCACCAACGCTCATTTGCTGTTGGTTTACTGCGTTCTCGTGTCTGCGACGCCCATAATTCCTCGGTCGCCGCCGCACTCAGCGACCCTGCGACCTACCGTGCGGGGTGCCCCTGTCTGGCCTCCAGCTCGTCATCAACATCAAGTGCATTGTTGCCTTCAGTCTCCACCCCCAAACCACACACCACCCCCGTATCGATGCCGTCTTCCTATCTGGGCTGTGGAATGCCTCTGCGACGTTCTCGAGTTCTTGTCGTTCTCCCATCGGCCGGCGCTCGCCCCCTCCACGCTCTGAGATAAGCCCAGCCCTACCATTTAGCGTTTGCACGAGTCCACGAGATGTCATCTCCGACCGTATATAGCAACCGCACGATGCCGACTTCGATCCGCCGTCCCTGCACGACCTCGACCCCTGCGTAATATTATCTACATACGGAAACCTCCCCTACCCCTGTCTCCTGCCCCCTCCCCCAACCCACGCCCGGCTGCGTTTGGTGTTTCTGAATGCATTGCATCAGTGCGAGTAGCCGCCCTCTTTCCGAGGCTACGTATGATCAAAGTTCCACCCTCGTACGCCACAACCCCAGTATTCGCTTGCGCACCGCGCCTCGTTGCACCACTCTCACAGATTTCTCACACGGAATTTATATGACGATATTGTGCCGGCTCCCGACGGTCACCTCTCTCCGTCAGATAGCTTGCAGTTCCGCATAAATCGCATTTAGGCTGAATTAGACATGTCTAGCCCGGGGTCGTTGGCGAGTACGGAACATGCCCGCGATGGTAGTGTCATGGCACATAAGTAAGAGGTCGGACAAGAGGGAACGGAATGGTCAACGTGGTAAGCGGATCGCACCCCATTCATGTTGATACTTCTCTGCGCCCCGTGCAATTCACTTTTACAAATGGAACCTTGTATCACGCCAAGTACGCCCGAGTGGGAAGGAGGCCGTGGGATCGTTTAGCAAGTGCAAGCGCGGACAAGTATCACACTCGACGCCCCGACTCGAGCGTCTCTCGCGACGTAACGACCGACACAGGCGCTTATGCGGCCTGTTGCATCATGAAACCGATTCGACTAGGCTCAGGGCCCTTGGCTGATTCTAAATACAGGTCACGTCAAATCAAACGACAAATCCATTTGAGTCTCCCGAGGTTCCTGACCTCCCGTTTTCTCGTCTCCCTCTCTCTCTCTCGTGCTCTCGACCGCTCCTCACGCTCTTTTTTTCTTCCTCTTTCTACTTTTGGCGCGTTCGATAGAGACCAACGATGCCGCCTCCGACTGGCCGGTTCGCGAGCACGAACCCGTATGCAAGTAGCGCGTCGCCTGCGGCGTCGACCCAAGACCTGTTGGTGAATGAAAAGCCCAATGCGGCGATGATGCAAGTCCCGGCGTCGCCTTATGGGAGTGTACCAGGGACGCCGGGCTCGGGCCATCCGTTTCTTGGCTCCACGGTACGTCCCGTCTAGTTTACGAACGATACAGAAAGCTCACAGCACGGCACTAG